CCCCCCCCCCCCCCCTTCCTCATTGCGTCACTCGGCGGCTGGCTCTCGAATTTGGGCCAATTGGCATGCCATCTCCACAGGGTCAGATATGTGCCCGAGGTCATCTGCATCACGTTTTCCCGTGTCCGCCTTAGTTGACCACCTTGACGCCGTCACCAATCTACCAAATGAGTGCGAGAATGTTTGTGCAGTTTTCTATAAAATATGCTTAAATTTATAAGGGCACTGAAAATCAGTGGGAAAATTTATACTGCTTAAGTCGCCGCTTTTTGCCGAGTGTGGTTTATGTAGGTGGACGAAAAGAAACTCATTCAAAAGCGGGACCGCAGCATTGCAGGATTGCACTGCATGATAATCAATATTACAAGCCCGTCTAAGTAACCACTCCAAAGCAGAAACACACTTCACAGTTTCGATTAACATTTCATGTGATAGCCAACATACTGTACGGTAAAATTCGCTCTGTACAGTGCAAGAACACGCTCCCACCACCACCAACGCTCATTAGCGCTGAGATAGGCCGCTTACTGTACTTCCACACAATGAGGGCACTTTGGCAGCTACCAACCACCCACTGCCGACGTCTGCCGGCACCCGAGTTTGCCACCACACCCCGAAATGTTGACCTTTGTTATGGTGCGTAAATCCGATAACGTCTGCCAGAATCCGATATGGCCTCCGTAACTCTTTCCTCCCTGAAATTTAAGGCAAGACTATCTGTAGTGCAGAAGGACTTATAGCCGTGCTCTCCCTCGAATTCCTCGCACTGGCAGAGGGGGGAGACCTAGAGAGTTGCGAAAATGCTCTTTAGGAAGTGGAGGATAATCTAAATGACACCGGTTTTCAACACTGGTGGGATGGCGGCGCTCGGCCGCAATCACCACTACCAGTAATCCGCTTCAGCCTCACAACTTCAACTGCTCCGCATGGTCTGGTTCTCACACACAGTCGTGCCGACATTTTAGGTCTCCTTAATCTCCTCTCGATGTCACACCAAGTTTTTATTTCATCTAGGCCTCATCTTAGGACTACGTGCCCTGTGAGTGCGCGTACTTGGGCAGGCCGGCTGCAGGCATGGCGAGAAAGAAAGAGAGAGAGAGCTTAACGTGGCACTTTGGCAGTTTACTTTCAGCTACCAACCGCCCACTGTCACCCTACCCCCCTTGATTCTTTACTTCCTCCAGAGTTCTTTCCCTATGTCTTCCAACTGCTGGCCGTTATGCTGGAGCAGTACTCTCTGTGCGAGTCGGTGCTTGCCCTACACAGTGGCAAACTGAAGAACGGCTCAGACGCCCACTCCAGCCTGCGTCCTGCTCCACCCTACACGGCCCTCCTGCCCCGCCTGATGACGCCCTCCTTGTGGGAAACTGGTGGCACTGTCGCCCCCCTGGCCCGCCTCATGCAGGCCTACCTTCTACACAACCTGGAGGCTGTCATGAGTCTAAATAAGGTGAGTTGCCGGCCCTTCGCTTCTTCTCCGCTACCCGATGTTCAGGCCTTAGCAGCGGGAGTCCCCTTGAGCGCAACCCGTGTGATCTGAATTTAACCCAGGTGGACGAATACACAGTATAAGCGGGGAGGTAAAGCAACACCGCGGTCTGCTCCACGACGGCCTAGAGTTGTGCTACAGCTAGCTAATCCCCATGGCGCTTCCACCTGAAGCGGGCAGTGGTGACAGAACTGCCCCAGTTTCGTTGAAATGGTTGTTGGGGAGGAAATTGCTCTTTCTGCCTTCAAGTTGGTCCACCCGGTCTGTTCAAGTTTTGACTTGCCAGGCGGGTTGCGTAGCAGGGTCGAGGGAAGGGACGGTTTCCTGTAGCACCTGAGTCCGAATGTGGACGTCTTTACCCCCCCCCCTTCTCTGCCTCTCGGTTGTTGGATCCCTTCTGTATGACGAACATGGCACGTGGTTGCTTATTCGTTAGACCTCAAGGCGCGCGCCTAGCCATCACCGAGAGAGCGCTGTTTTACCACCCACCATGTGTGGACTGTCGGGTGGTCCACAGCTTAGGAACCTGGTGCCGCCTTTCACGGCCTCCAGTTGACACCCCAGCCCAATAAGACATCTAAGCGCGACTGCCCGTTCCCCTCCCCCCCTGGTCAACTTCGCCTGACCTTGCTTTACTACCGCTGTGAGTCTTCTTTTCTCTAATCAAGGGCATTGTCTAGCCGTCTGTTTTCGTATTCCATGCCCTCGTCACTCCTAGGAAACAGAATCTTTTCAGACATCCTGTACATGCAAGCCGGTTAACAATCTGCCTGAACGCCAGATCCGTCTACCTATTTCGTTGCGTACGGGACTTTCTATCCGATCACTGGGCTCAAGTCTGCTCAAAGGACACGTGTTGTTTCAAACTTCAGTTTGATTATTACGGCGCCCATTGTTGATGTCTCAAGGTGCACAATACTACAGGGTCCCGGAACCTATGGACTTGTCTGTCTGCCACCCAAACCCATTTACTGTTCACAAACCCATCTGTGTCTGTTACTCACTCTCAGATGCCATGCTACACAACTGGACACTTTTTTGCCTTCTTAAGGTGGCCCATCTTCCGGTCCCTGTAAACGGGCGCGGCTGCTTTTTCGAACTTGTGATGTGGTAGAGGTTGTAATGAACTGCCTGTTTAAGTGCACTGCACTCTCTGTCCCTTGTAATGGCTCTGACGCTTTCGTTGAAACAATGTTCTTGAATGGCGGGTGACGGATACTGCCGATACCACTATAACCAGGATGGTACGCTAGTCATCACAGCCCCCCCCCCCCC